GATTAGAACCGCTGAACTGCAGATAACAGTCAGCTGAAGTGGCCTGCAGTACTGCACCCTAACCACTGCGCCACCTCGGCTCTTGCAAAGATAGGCCTTCCATAACTCCCCAAATTAAAATGTCTGCAACATGATTCTTTTTGCTTTCTTTCCTGTTATATTTAGCAATCTTCTGATTTTTGCCGGCCAGATATAGTATAACCAAGAGCTATTGCCCTGGCTCTTACCCCTGCTCTTCTAATGCCCTCCAAAGTCAGAAAATATTGGCAGTTATTCTCTTCCTTATCCCTCTCCTATCAACTTTGCTCTGTGTACAATAATTTCCCCCCTCAATTTCCACAAAGAATTGCAAGCAATGCTATTTCCATCTGACATTCACAACAAAACCCTATAAGTCAGTGATGGCTAACCTTTTTGTCATTGTGGGCCGAAAGCGTGCACGTCCACACCCATAATGTAATACATGTGTGACACCCTCCACATGCCCCGCCCCTGCACAAACATGCGCGATCCCCCGTGCTCCAGTGGGGGGGTTTCAAGATCCTGTTGCAACCGGTACGCTGCAACGGCGCCCAGCGTCCACCACGTGAACGTGTGCAGTACGCACGCAGCACGCACATGTGTATTTACCGCCCGCGACGCTCCAGCTGTTTGGCAGAGCGTTGCACAGACGCCGTACGCTCCGTCCGTGTGCGTGAAAGCCCCGATCGGCTCAAATAGCAGTAAGGAGAACAGGCCGCGGGTGGGCCCTCCGGAGCACCATTCCGGAAGGGTACCTGGTGCTCCCAGCAGGCACCGGTACGCCCGTACCAGGGCATACCAGTCATATCCCACCAGTGCCGTACTCCCACCGCCTCCCACGCATGTGCATGTTACCCCCCCCCTTGTATCCCATTTAAGGCCTACCAGGCCCCGCTGCAGCCTCCTGGGACCAAAAACGGACTGTGGGGGTGCCGCCACACCCCAGGCACTCCCCCCGCCCCTACGCATGCATGTGTAACCCCTCTTGGGCCCCCACACACATGCATATCTCCCGCGTTCTCCCCGTCCCCTGCACCCAAAAATAAAATGGCCGTCGGGAGGTGCTCGTGCATGTGCGGTAGAGCTGAGCTGGGGCGACAGCTCATGTGCCTGCAGAGAGAGCCCTCTCTGCAGGCACATGAGCTGTCACAGCTGTCACATGACCTCTCTCTACCACAGGGGGCAGAGAGAGCCCTCTCTGCCCCCTGTGGTACACGTGTCACGGCTATAGGTAAAGGAAAGGCAATGCCCCCAATAGGCAAGAGAATCTTGGAAATGGATAACAGTTGAATCTTACCATACATAGCCCGACGTTCTTCCACCACAAGGCCTTCCAACCCTGAGCCATTTCACCTCAGGACTTCATTGAATTGAACAGCATCTCCATAGTTCACAGAAGAGAGCTGAGATTCAAAGCTGGAAAAAATAGCAATTTTGCCTGCAGAGGCGATTTCATACGTTACTTCTGAAATGAGATTTAAAGGAGAAGTCCTTGGCACAACTGTATCCAATTCTCCCTTTTGAATCTCAAGAAAAAAATTTTTGTTTGATTTATCCACTTATATTTAAACTCGGCAGTCTTTCATCATCATCTTTTAACGCTCTCCTAATCCCTTGCAGGGTGGGAGTCTGGGCAACTGAATGGAGCTAGGAGAGTGTTTAATGGCCGGATGCCCTCCTTGTCACCAATGCGGAGCTTTGTTCAGAGATACAGTATATTCTCATTGTGCCCAGAAAATTTTCTGCATCTATCTAGGATTGAACTCACACCCGGCTGATTGTGAGGCGAGAGCTCAGCCTCTAGGCCCCTGCACCATTCTGTTTTCTTCTAGCCTTTGGTTAGATTAAAACCACCTCTTTCTCTCCATTTCTCTTTTTCTAGTGAAGCCTTATGAAAAAATGAATCTGAAGCAACTGAAAGAGGCCGAAGATGATTTTGATGAGGAAGATTTAAAAGCTGTTGAAATGTACAGGTATGTCAAATTCAAAGGAGCAGGTGCAAGTGTGAGGAAATAGATATTTCCCCATCGATCATCATCATCATCATCATCATCATCATCATCATCATCATCATCATCATCATCATCATCATCACCACCTCAACTTTTAATAGTTAGAAATACC